CCGAATCGGTTTATACAATGCCTTATCGGGGCCACCGATCCGTTTTTTAAATTATTGCTTATTTTCCAATCCTTATTGATGGCAGCTCAAAAGGATATTTTGATGCAATAAAAAGTATCAAGGAGGACTCCCTCTCTCAAAATCTATCTGCAACAGTAATAGAACCATGTCAGAAGATGATTGAATCAATGACTAACAGATGTCTCCTCTCAGCGTTCGAATCAACCACCTACACCAGGTACGTCTTTTTCAATGCACAGAACATACAAATGCAAAATCTGTTGCTGTTCCTATGATGTTTCAAAGTTAATTTTGTGTATAAAGTAAACATGGATATACAGAACTTGGAGGGACCATAATTGATGCAGAAAAAAGAGATTTTTTATTTTTATATTTTCTTGATGTTAGATATGATATTATTTAGGTTTTTAGTTTATTTTTGTATTTTTTTTTTTTGGGGGGAGGGGTATTAAGTATATTTATTTTAAATTTTTAGGAGTTATTTTTTAAGAGAGAAACATGAAGGACTGTATTAGATGATATGTTCTAATCTATAGAAAGTCAAACTTTTGATAAGTTAGAAAGGTTACTTTTTTTAAGAAAGAAATGAGGTTTTGAATGAGAAATAAATGTATATTTATTTATTTATTTTATTATTTCAGTTGTATTTGAAGGGGAAATGTCTATCTTTATAAATAGAATAGATTAAAATTGAGTAAAGTTGATATTGTAAAAAGATCTAAGATTGAAATTGAGTAAGGTTGATGTTGTAAAAATATCTTTTTGCGGTGGATTCATATGCAGGCCTTGAGGGATGATATATTCTCTCAACCTTTTTGTTTTATATTTTTATTTTCAAGTTTATTATTTCTCTATACATTAGTTGATATCAGAGTTATGAGATTTGTGATATCTAGTTATGGAGCCATTAATTCAAATATTTGAGAGACTCAAAGAAGAATTGGTAGAGCGTATTAGCAAATTTATAGCACAAAATCTACTAAATCACCTTCATAGCTTGCAATTAGAGGAAGAAGAATATCAAGAGGTAGATCTAATACAAAAGACAATGTTGATAGTCCAAACATGCAAGAAATTTTGAAAATCAATTGTGGAAAAAAAGATGTATATGTTGTAGTTTATGAAATGCCACCTTATGACCCTAAAGGAGAAATCAAGATTCAGTTTAATATTCCAGAGTTCAATGTCTCAAACTTTCACTAGAAATTATGTTGGATATGTTTTTATTTATTAAAGAAAAAGTACCAAGACACATGGTGGGACTGCATCACCAACTTTTGAGAATGCCTCTAAAATATTGGAGTTCTATAAGCTCGAGGTCAAGCTTCTCCCAACCTAAGGAGAATGATTGTAAATAAAAAAATGGGTCTTTTTTTTTTATTTCTTTTTATTTTTTTGATGTCAAATATGATATTATTTAGGTTTTAAATTTATTTAGGGTTATTTTTGTATTTTATTGGTGTAGAGATTTGATAGTATAAAACATGTTTATTTTAGAATTTTAGGAGCTATCTGGTAAGTTTTGACAAAATTTTACGTTGGTTGCCTACCTAACACAACCCAACAACATTTATCAGGAGGTGTCAATTAGTTCAAGTAGAAGGACTTAAAAGGGCAAGGGGTAGGGCCAAAAGAGCGCAGTTGGAAGTAGTTCAGAAAAATGGTAATTAAAAAAGATAGTAGTTTAGAAAGATATGGGTAATTATGACCTCACTAGGGCTAGGCCCAAAATGGCGTAGTTGGAAACAATCGAAAATATATGTGAACTTATGGCTTCACTGATGGTATGGCCTGTAATAAAGCAGAATAGCAGACCCAGATTCGTGTAGTCGATCCCAATTAATTGAGAAACGGCTATGATAATGATGATGAGTTATCTTTTAAATAAAGAGAACTAGGAAAGATCATCTTATATGATATGTTCAAATGTTTAGAAAGTCAGATAGTAATGTTTTTTTTTCCAGAAAATAAATGAGTTTTAGTATGAGAGATAAATGTGTTTTTATTCATTTATTTTATTATTTCAGTTGCATTTAAAGGAAAAATATCACTTTTTGTAAACAAAAGAGATTGGAATATAGTAAATTGATCTTATGAAAACATCTTTTTAGATTGGATTCTCTTGCAGACATTGAGAGATGGTAAATTCTCTCAAGCATTTTATTTAATTTATTTATTATTATCTAAGTTTCAGTTCCTGGTTTCCCAACCTATAAATATAAGGGCAAGCTTTCTGTGCTTCCCATACAATATAAAACTTATATGCTTCCCCTTATCGAACCGTCCATTCTGAATGGAGGGCTAAGATTGCCCCAATCACAAGTCTCTACACTATTTTCTTTTTAATTTTTTTATATAAAATATTTTGACATCAAAATTTGGTCATCCAATCCTCTATTAAACTCACTCTTGTAAAATAAAATAAAATAACCAAAATATCTCTAAAAGTTTCAAGTAGTATTTTGGTCATTATATTTTATCAAAAAATCATTTTTAATATTTTTTATAAATGCCTCCCAATGGCACATACCAAAATTTATATTCATACAATTTGTATTAAAAAATTAAAAATAAAATACTTTGGGGCATCGGATCGAAGATCAAATGGTGAGCGGCTCAGTCGATCAAAATTGGACCGGATAGAAAAGGAAGAATACATCTCCTATGTTGAATAAAAAATTAAAAATAAAATACTCTCAGGATATACTTCCGACATCGAACTTCTTTACGAATAATCATCTTGATTTATACAAACTTTGGTGAACATCGCTATTGAATATGGTTTAGACATGCCTATTCAATATGGTTTCAACTTTGACAGGGGGAAACTGATGGGTCAAGTTTCCACGATTGAAGGCAACAAGCATGATAAGACACGTGTAACGATAGTACGGCCGTGAAGAAAACGCATGTTGTATTCATGAGCTTTAGAGAGAGAAAAGGATAGGTGGACAGATTGGGCACGGCTTATCTGTCCACGATTTATGATAAGAGAGAGATCCAAAGCTTTGATATTTCTTAGTTGTAAACTAGAGAGAGAGAGAGAGAGAGAGAGAGAAGTAAAGTACTTCTGTCGTACGTTAAAAGTTAAAACGGT